AAACATGTTTTCTTCATATTCTTACACTTTTATGCTCTAATATTTTATATTACCATGTATTATCATATTATGTTGTAATATTTTTTGCATATATACTTATACTGTATTGCCTAATTTTGTATAATGATTAATTTGATTGATTGTTATGTAATGCCACAAACAATGCAATTTCAATGTTTGTACGAGTATTGTGGCTATGTGACAAAACGGGGCATTCCTGACGGTAAAAGCACCGTGTGTCAAAGTACTTGGTCTGTGACTACTGTAACAGCCGTGGAGAGGCAATTCCATAATGACCTGGCTGAAATGAACCAGAGCATATCATATCGGTGTAGGACTGTTTCGGCCGCAAACCAGTTCGGCACTTGACTGCTGAACTCGCTTGAAATTGGTCGTGAGTGATAGATTACGGACCTGTTAGCACAGACACACATACTTCACTCATCCTATTATAGGCCTAATCACTTTAATTACTCTGTCTTGGAATCCATATTGTTGTAATATGGTGTAATGATCCATATAGCTCCCAGCCAGTGAAATATCCTTAACAATCATTTATTTTCATAGCTAAATTTATAGTGTAACATATAGGCCTATAGTGTTTGAGCAAGATAATTCACGGTTTTTGTTAATCAAGCTGAACTATGACACACCACCGTTGTACCTTCTTTTACAAACTATAGCCATGGGATATGTAAATATAAATGTATGTATATACGCATATGTTACAGTATAACAAAATAATTATATAAAATTTATTTTATACGGAATGATTTGCTTGAACTGTATTATATTATTTTACACTACACAAAAAAGCTAATAAAAAATTAATAAGATACATTTATACATATTAACATTTACATCGTGTAATATTAATTAACTTTTTTGACGGTGCTTTAAGTGTTTGAAGTTTGTACATTTGAATCTAATTTTGTTCGTGTTTTTTTTTTCTTCTCAAAAAAAGAACAAATCGGTAGAGGGCAGTATTTACACACAGTACAAACGGTGGTGGATATTTTTCACACAGCCTCAAAGAAGATTCATTATTTTTACATGTGTTACATCTGACGCACTGATAATCAATCCACAGAATGTGATGTAATGATGCTGAGCGTAGTAAAATTTCATTTCTGATATTTCGTTCACGTAAGATGGATCTGAGGCTATACCTTCATAGAACTTTTTAGGCGGCCGGCCCGGCACCCGCATTGATAGCGGGAGGCGATAGGTTCCAATCACGATAGACACACTTGTTTTCATACCTTACAACGATTCATCTCTGCTGGATACGATAATGACGTCTTATGTTTCTATATGCACAGTTATAATATCTATTTCGATACGATCATAATATATTATATTCCCATTTGTACACTGTTATTATCTATTTGTCTATTTGTTTATACATTTTATATATTATTATCAAAGTGTGTGTTGAGGGAAATATCACAAAACATAGCCTAGGCCTCGTACACAAACAACCTAGAGAGTGTATAATTGGTAAACCTATATAGTTATGATCCGGTTTGTATGGCACATACCGGTAGTATTGACACTGTACAGCACGGCACAATAAAAGTGTAAGTTGGTCTCAGTATTAACGTAAAAGTTAATAATAAGTGTCAGTTTATATAGCGCATAATGTAAAATACTTCTATGCGCTTTACAGCATGGTGTGGTAAAAATAATTAAAAGCTTCACCTAACAAAAATAATGAGTAACAATAATGAATAACAACAATAAAAGATAAATAAATATATAAAGTTAATAAAAAAATAATTTAAATATACAGAATTATATTTACTTTTTTTTTATATAATAATTGTTAAATATTTATTTCCTTAGTCGTATTTCCTTACTTACCTTTTACTCTTTTTTCCATTTTTTTTTTACTTTTCTTATATTTTCTTTCATACTTACGACCCGTCTCTCTTTTCCTTTACTTCCCTCTAATTTCTTTCACTACATTTTCTTCCTCTACCCCCTTTTCCCTCCTTACATTTTCCATTGATCATTAGAAAGTGAGGTTGAGGATTTTGTGGTTATTATGTCTTCAATATGTTTTTGCTAAATACTTGGTCTAAAGTGGTAGTAGTTTTGCACCGATGCTTTATATATTGTGTTTTTTTTTTCTTCACCATTTTGTCTCCTTGTTCACGCTCCACTGATAGTTTATTATTTTACCTTAGTTGTAAGATGCTTGCCTTTTATTCCAATTTATGCATAAAACTGTAGAAATAAAGTGTGTCCACTATCAAACATATTCATTTATTAAATTTTAACAAGTCTTTGATACAGCAGGCACCATTATTTTCTTCAGTTCAGAAAATGGAACAAGCCAATTCCCTTGGCCGGCTGTGAGCACGGGCGGATTTTGTTCTTGATTGCCTTTGTTAAAATTTTAAAATGACGGAAGAAAATTTTAGCCAATTAGATTAATTTATATATATAAAAACGATCACAAGAAAATTTGCTTTCTGTTGCCACGTCAACCTAAGTGATCGGATTATTGTAGGCAGAGTTATGAAACGACTCCTCATAAACCAGCTCAAATCCCGCTAAAAACATACAAATATTTCCTATATTTTCGTAATTCAACCAAAAAATTATGGAGCCAAATATTTGAGTAAATTATTTGCAATAGCTACATTTATAACCTTCTATAAACCGTTTCAATTCAATTTATCCGACCTCTAGTTTTTGAGTTACGGTATTTGTAGAAAAATCAGTCGATATTTTTGAAGAAGCGCTAATAGGGTGATTTTCACGGCGGCGCTTCTGTATTAAAGTAGACCGAACAAATTGATATGTAATCCCAGGATTAAGAGTTCCTAAGCCACATAGCGAGACATAGGCCTGGCGTATAAAGCACCATGTGGGTAAACGATTGCTTCACAATTTACTTTAATATAAAGAATAATATAAGAATTTCAAAAACTTGACATTTCTAATAGACTTTATTTCTTTACAAAAAATAATCTATTTTACGAACGTATAAGAGAATAAACATTAAAATAATATATAATACCGATATACAAAATATATATATATATATATATCTATATAGAGATTAATCATATTTTTCATTCACAGTTACATAATAAAATACTCTTATTAGACCTATACGAAAATGCCATTACAAACTTAGAGTTAGAGTCTCTATTTTAAATAGAAAATGAAGCCATACATTATATATATTAACTGAATGTTATACTTAATACGGTACGCTGCGCCCTCTACGAGATATAAATCAAATACCAAAGATTAAAAAAAACAAACTTTAAGATCTTTGTCCAATACTGATAATCGATCCAAAGTACTACGGTATTGAATAGATGTTGCCTGCTTGCTCCTTAGTTATACGACCATTCACAATTTATGTACCATACAGACCAATCATTATCTTATCAGAAGGTTAAACCGGTACAAATTAATCTATTTTACGAACGTATAAGAAAATAGACTTTAAAATAATATATATGTACCTATATAAGAAGTATATAATATATATATATATATATATATATTTATATATATATATATAGACTAATCAAATTTTTCATTCACAGTTACATAATAAAATACTCTTATTAGACCTAGGCCTATACGGAAATGGCAGTACAAGCTTAGAGTTAGAGAGTCTCTATTTTAAATAGAAAATGAAAACATACATTATATGATGAATATTATAGACGATGTTAAAACTTCTATCGTGAGTAAATGTTGTGCAATATTTGCTATACGTATAAATTGGCTAGTAACAATACGAATAATATGTAAATCCAAAAACCCAAGCACCACTAGTCATCAACACGTTGCGACCTCTACGATATATAAATCCAATACTGATAATCGATCTTTTTCAAAGTATTACGCTATTGAATTGATATTGCCTGCTTTCTTTCTTTGTAGTTCCTTAGTTATACAACCATTCACAATGTATGTACCATACAGACCAATATCTGATCAAAAGGTTAAATCGGTACATGTTTGTTGTCCTTTTACCACACTGAAATTATAAATTGGTTACAACAATAAAATGAATAAATTAATAAATTATAATGATGCAAAAATGACGATTTGTGTTTTTCAATATTCATGCTGATTGTTAAGAGGATGGTCTGAAAGACAATGTAGCCCTATGAATAACAAATATGAGTATAAGAAAAAAATATCAATGCATATATTACCAGAATCAGTCAGGAATGAGAACTAGAC